ATAAGTAGAAGACCACTGTAATCAAGGTAAAAAAGCTGTTAAACCTTACTTGAGAAGAAAATAACACGAGACACAAAGAATCATGAATCAGGTTAGCGAGCTCACTCTTTTAGAGTTATCGTGATATTCCAACTGCTCAGTCCTCGCAGGCTGGATCTCCACATTGACAGTATCGCTCCCACGCAGTTTGTAAGCGTAGATTGGAATCCCATAACTATCCACTCCAATTGTCCTCTCACCAAACCCTTGCGAATATCCGAAGATGTACTCGGCAGCCCGCCTCAACGGTCTCCAATATCTCATCTCTTCTGCGTCATAACTACAACCCCCAAAACCATTCATCGCGAAGGGAGAAAACCCAGAATGATTCCACCACCATTCCGCAGAGGTAAAGCCCCGTTCGCCATTACCATAAGAAGAGTCATAAGCGGGATCGGCTCGGTCGTCTTCACGCCCGTCAGATATTGAGATAGCTCTCTCACTGGCATCAGGAGAAGCAGGATACTCCAGCGGCCCGTTCGGTGGGAGAGTTGGATGCGAGGAGGAGTCGGATAACGGGTAGCAGATGGCGGAGAGTGGAGGAAGCGGATCGCCATAAGTGAGAGCAATATCATATCCCCCTTGGTAAGGATGGGGATTGTATTCTTCAAAATCTTCGGTCTCGTTAAAGTCGGAGATCCCGTCGGCCATGTCGGCGCCCTCGCGTGAACTCGGTGGGTGGATGAATGATAGCTTTCTCGAAGGGAAGAATGACTAGGGTTTAAGCCTTTGAATATATTTTGGATCTCACTTGTGACGATGGAGACAGAAATCACCCCGGTGTCAAAAAAAGCAGAAGGGATAAGGCGGATCGATGGTGGAGAATGGAAGGAAGCGGGAATAGTTGGCTGCTGCAGAAGAAGAGATCCATAATGGTGTGTGGTGTTTGAAGTTATGCCGGGAAGAAAAGCAGGGGAAATGGGTCCTGCGGTTGGAGACGAGTGCCTGTCCTTGTCTAAAAAGGGAAGCTCTGATTCTATCATGAAATACAACATATTTATTTGGATATTTTTTTACTTGATAAAAAAAATGATTGTACATATCTAATGTTTGTGGAGAAGCAAGACAACAAAAGCTGCATTAGCCGCTGCCCATCACTTGATAGATATGTAGTACCTGCCCCTCCCGCATGACAAAAAATATTTTGTTTGTACTATCAACTATCAGCCATTTTCTTCGATGAGAATAATAATAATAAAACATTATAT